GGACAATATTGCTTCTTAGTTATAAAACTGCATTTCATCAGGAAACACATATCAGCATCACCAGATTCTTCTACTCCAAATCAGGTTAACCTGATTATCAGTGCAGTTGAAACTGTATTGTGCACCAAGCCCATTTTTTTTTTTTACCCCAAGATGGAAAAGCTGCCTTGGGCTGATAAGCCTCAGTGTGAGAGGTAGTTGTAGTTACCCTTCTTTGAGTGTCCCTGGTTTGCTGCAGTCTGCTAGGCTTTGTAACGGAGAGGGCCCTTGTCTGTTTTGCTGTCTGTTCTGTCCCTAGACCCAGGCCGAGTGCCTAGAACATGGATAAATGCTCATTAATTAAATATTTGTTGAATGAATGACTGCCAACCTAGGGCATTGGCATTTACACACATTGCCTCATGCAGTCTTCACAGCCAACTTTATAACACCCAACTTTGTAATAAAAAATATAAGCAACCTTACAATAAAAAAACTCAGTTTTGCACATGAGTAAACTGACACAGATGCTTAACCCCTTGTTCAAAGCCCCACAGCCAGGGGTTAGGAGCTGCCTCCAAACAAAGCCATTTAAAATTTTACCATTTTATAATCAAATGGGACCTAATCAAAAACTTAAAAGCTTTTGCACAGCAAGAAAACCATAAGCAAAACGAAAAGACAACCTATGGACTGGGAGAAAATATTTGCAAACAATGCAACTGACAAGGGCTTAATTTCCAAAATATACTAACAGCTCATACAACTCAATGACAAAGAAACAAACAACCCAGTGGGAAAATGGACAGATGACCTAAATAGACATTTCTTCAAAGAAGACATACAGATGGCCAATAGGCACATGAAAAGATGCTCAATATCGCTAATTATTAGAGAAATGAAAATCAAAACTGCAATGAGTTATCACCTCACACTGGTCAGAATGGCCATCATTAAAAAGTCTACAAATAACAAATGCTGGATGGGGTGTGGAGAAAAGGGAACCCTCCTACACTGTTGGTGTGAATGTAAATTGGTGCAGCCACAATGGAAAACAGTTTGGAGGTTCCTTAAAAAACTAAAAATAGAGTTGCCATATGATCCAGCAATTCCACTTCTGTGCATATATCAGGAGAAAACTAATTTGAAAAGGTACATGCACCCCCATGTTCATAGCAGCACTATTTACAATAGCCAAGACGTGGAAGCAACCTAAATGTCCATCGACAGATGAATGGATAATGAAGATGTGGTAAATATATACAATGGAATACTACTCAGCCATAAAAAAGAGTGAAATAATGCCATTTGCAGCAACATGCATGGACCTAGAGATTATCATACTAAGTGAATGAAGTAAGTCAGGAAGGCAAATACCATGTGGTATCACCGATATGTGGAATCTAACATATGATCCAAATGAATTTATTTACAAAACAGAAACAGACTCACAGACATAGAAAACAAACTTATGGTTACCAAAGGGGAAAGGGGGTGGGGGAGGGATAAATTAGGAGTTTGGGATTAGCAGATACAAACCACCTGATAAACAGCAAAGTCCTACTGTATAGCACAGGGAACTATATTCAGTATCCTGTAATAAACCATAATGGAAAAGAATATGATAAATAATATATATATCTGAATCACTTTGCTGTACATCAGAAACTAACATAACATTGTAAATCAACTATATGTCAGTAAAAAATAAAGTAAAATAAAATGTTACCATTTTAACCATTTTTCAGTGCACAGTTCTGTGGCATAAAGTATATTCACAATGTTATGTAACCATCACTATCATCCATCTTTGCCTGTGCCCTTTTTCCCCCTATTAACACTGCCTCCCTTTGTTCTTTAGGGCACTTTTAACTTTTTAAAATCAGAGTAAAAACTTTTCTTGAGCAAAAACACTGAAGGAACCTGGAAGTTTAAACTTTCAGGCTGGGCTGCATACTGAATCAGTGTCCTCCCTTTCCCATCTCCTCAGCCAGCTCTGTTTCATGTAGAGTTTTTTATTGGCTAATAATAGTTGGGTATGTTGTTTTGAACAGGAATACATGCTATCAAATCTGCTATTCTCTCACTGAATAGGAGCTGTTTAGTCTCTTCCTGCGGTTCCTTGGCCCTGTGAGGCAGTGATCTAAATGGTCCAAGTGCTGAGGAGCTGTGTACCTGCCTGATGGGTTAGAGCACCACCGGGCTAATGTCTTCTGTCCGCCTTGTACTTGGGAAATGATTGTGCTTTGTCATCCTTCACTTCTTCGTCCTGACAGGAGTCCTGTTCACTACTTTCAGTTTCACTTTGGGCTTTAAAAGTATTCCTTAATCTTTCTCTGGTTGAATTTTCTGTATAATACAGGTACAAGTAAGCAGTTTTGTTGGCTTGGCTGTGGGGTGAGTTGGAATATGTGAAAGGAGATTTGGGAGGGGGATGGATCTGCCTAAGTAGGGTAGCTGGACTTTTCCACTTGCTAGTGTTTCTCCTGTGCTGGTCTCGAAGTCCTGTTTGATATCAGGCAGAGCCAAGTGGCGAAATATGACACAGGCTGAGGATGAGCATTGGCAATTGTCCTGAGTGCACAAATAGTCTCTTCCCTCCCAAGCATATTTTACAGCCAAGTGAACAGAAGACAATTCAGGCTGTTTGCCTGAGACCTTCGGCAGAAAAATTATCTTTATAAAAAAGTGGCCACTTGGTTTTTATAAAAAGTTTCAGAAGAACAAAATGCAACCTAGGCTTATTTCTCTCTCCCTTGTTTTATCTCTGATCCCTAAGTGTAAGGCTGATTCCAGATATACTCCTAAGTCTGTTTGCAGGTGGTAGGATCTGGGCATCCCCAAGTTCGACCAGTCACATATTCTTCACTTGAGATCAGTGTCAGCTAGATAAGGAAGTTGCCGGAAAAACTGAAGTCTAAGCCTTCCTATTGAATGATCAAGTAAACAGGCACAGTTTGGACCCTGGCCCAGTTCTGCTGCATGTAAATTTTATCTAGCACACACATGACGGGCCCAGCAGTTGTTGGTGGTGTAATTCCAGTCATGACTCACTAATACTGCAGGCCGCCATTGCATGAGGCTTGACCTGAGGTAGCTGCTCTAAATATAGCCTTCCTTTCTGGCAGCTGCAAACACCTGGAAGAGCAGGCAGGCCCCCAGCAGAAAAGTATTTGCTGTTAATAGCATGTCTGTTGAACAGTTGTGTACTGTCAGAGCTTATTTCATGCTATGTTTATACATAATTAAAAACAACCCACTGTATCCATTGGCTTATGGTTGGGTTATGTTTAGAAAAATGCTATTTGTGTTGTTATTCTGTGGGGACTGGGGATGATGTCACTAGTTTGAGGAAGACCATAAGAGAAATGGTTAATGAAATTACTGACAATTTCTTTGATCCTTAATGAACACAGCTAACTTAAACCCCTTAGCGGCCTTTGGTCTCTGGCACTGAAGAACCAAGCTGTCAGTCATGTGATTCTGTTCAGTTAGGGACTCTGGTTTGTGTGCTTGGTAGTTCCTTCTGACCTAAGGGGGTTTATAAGTAATTGAAAAGAACACTAGGGACTTCCCTGGTGGTCCAGTGGTAAAGAATTCACCTTACAATGCAGGGGACGTGGCTTTGATCCCTGATCAGGGAGCTAAGATCCGACATGCCGCGGGGCAACTAAGCCCGTGTGCCAAAACTACGGCACTTGCACACCTCAACTAGAGCCCGCATGCTCTGGAACCCGTGTGCCACAACTACAGAGCCCATGTGCCCTGGAGCCTGCGTGCCACAACTAGAGAAGAGAAAACCTACATGCCACAACTAGAGAGAAGCCAGCACACCACAACGAAGAGCCCACGCGCCACAATGAAAGATACCGCATGCCTCAACGAAGATCCTGTGTACTGCAGCTAAGACCTGATACAGCCAAAAATAAATTAAATAAATAAATAAATCTTAAAAAACAAAATAAAGAACACCACTATTTACAAAATGGTGTTAAGACCTCACCAAGATCTTATTTTTTACCTGTCAGATCGACAAAAATCCAAAATGTTGGAGAAACACCGTTGATGAGCAAGTGGGGAAATAGGCACTCTCATACATTCTTGGTGGGAGCATTCATTAAGTATGTAACTTTTTTATTGAGGGAAGTTTAGATATATCGATTAAAGCCACAAATATATGCCCTTTGACCCAGCGGTATCACTTGTAGGACTTTATCCTGCAGATGCACTTGTATGTTAAACTATGTGTGCTTAATCTTATATATGGAAGAATTAAAGATTGGAAGCAAACTCAAAAGTGGATTGGTTACCTAAATAATGATATATCTATACAGTGGATACAGCTGTAAAAAACAATGAGGATATTCATTGTGTACTGACTTAGAAATGTCTTTATGATACAGTGTTAAGGGAATAAAGGAAAGGGCAGTGTGTAATATGCTACCAATTGTGTAAGAAGGGGGGAAATAAGAATGTATATCATTTGCTTGTATGTGCATAAGGAAGTTCTGGAAGGGTATTTAAGAAAGTAATATGAACGAATGATTACCTGTGTGTGTGTAGGAAGGAAGAGATAAGATGGGTAGTTTTCATTGTATGAAACTTTGAATCATGTGCATGTATTGCTTTTTTAAAAAAAATAATTAGATTTTTTTTTTTTTAATGGAGCTTCTTTGGATTTTAGTCACAGCTACAGAGGAGCTCTCTTTTAATTGACTCCCTTACCAATACTTGCTGTCCTTATGGGTAAGAGGGGGATTTCCTCACATTGTTGCTGATGGTGCTAATAATGTTTGTTACTTTCTATGTGGGTACCTTGGGAAGAAAGTGATGCACAAGTTTTTGGTCCTGCTGTTTTTCCTGTTGTTCCTTAGCCAGAATCAATGACTCTGAAGATTAACATACCAGGAGCCGTCTATATACCTTCTATATATGCGTTCTATAGGTTCCTTTTGTTTGACAATTAGGATAATATGCTCTGGAGAGGACTGAAGTCTTTTGCCTTTTCTCTTTATTTGTAGGAACCTACAAGCAGCAATTGGCGCCTATTATGACTTTGAGAGCCCAAACATCAGTGTGCCCTCTATGTCCTTTGTTGAAGATGTCACCATAGGAGAAGGGGAGTCGATACCTCCTGATACTCAATTTATAAAAACATGGCGAATCCAAAATTCTGGTAAATGTATAACGAGCAATCTTCCTTGCCCAGTTTTCTTTTTCTTAGTAGTTAAAAGAAATAAGGAAGTGTTTTAGCTTAAATTATGTGATTGTATAACTCTGAGCTTTTCCTTATACATGATGTAGAATTTTCTGTTACTGGTATGATGACCCAAACACCAATAAAATACTCCCTAGATTAGGAAGAATTTAGGTCTTGATGACATTTAAACACAATTCAATATTCTTTTGATACCAGGAACTAGGCCTGTGTGTGGTGGTGGTATTGTCTCCACCTGTACAGTTCTACTCCATCATTTTATTTCTGCTCTAATTAATCTTCCAGTTATTTCCAGCAAGCTAGAGGAGGTGCATCCTTGAATAGAACAAGGTAGTTAGAGTTGTGAGCATCTGCTCTTTTGAAAGCTTATTTCTTTGCAACCACAAGGATGATTGTATCTGAAATTTTCATTGAGCTATCTATTTGAGATGTTAACATCACTTTGAAAAATTGGGTAAGAAGTGTAGGGATTTGCTCAGAATAGAAAAGATGGAAAGATTGAGAAATTGCTTTTTTTAAAAAACATTGTTTTGACGTACTGCTGACTTAAGAAAAATTTAACGTAAGTTAACCGTAGTTCTTTGAAAATAGTATCTGAATATGTATTAGTAAATGTTTATTATCACCTTTTACTTGTTAATTCTTTTCTAATGACTTTTTTAATTTGAGTGAGTTTAGTATTTCTTGTCTCATCCAGTAACAATTTATGCTGACTAGGTGAGGATGCTTTAACTTCCTTATTAATGAGGATTTACAAAAGAAATTCTAAGAGATGGAAAACTAGACAAAAGGAATATTTAGCTAAAAGTTTGTTGGTGTCGGGGAGCCATGTCTAGTAAGGTAATCTGATGTGAAATGATATAAAACTCTGGGGACTCAAACCTATAAAAGTGACCTTTTATTGGACCCTGTTTACTTTTCAGTTCTTTATACTTCAGTTCTTTTATGATGGGGAGAGACTGGCCAAGCTAGTCTTTTATATAATAATTAATGTACCAAATTATTATTCTTAGTTTTTCTGGCTAATTTGGAATTAACTTTACCTTGGATGGTGTGTCACTGAGCAAAAGCACATAATCTGGATTGACCCAGTGTTGTAGATGACTGGGGACATCAGTGGCTTTGTAAATTTTCATTAGCTTCTTTTCTCTTTTGGTTATAACACTGTTCGGTGCATTGTTAGTTTGAGAGGCACATGGTAATACAGGAAAACGGCCATTTTTCTTGAAATTCTTGTTCCAAGGTTGATTATCTTTACGTTGTCTAATTTCTTTCTCACCTTGCTTAGTGTTGTCTGCTTTTAAAAATATTAAAACAATCTCTTTAGGTCAGCTTTTATTCATCATATTTCTTATCTGAATTACTAAAATCTGTGTTACTGGTCAAAAATGCTTTTGAAACCTAGCCATGAATTTTCAAAATGAGTAACATTTGTTTAGAAAGTATAGCTTATTAAAAGTTTTGTTTATTTAAAAGAATTAATCCAAGACCTTGTTTACTTAATGGTGAAAACACTGGAAATGGTCTGGCTTTCCATGGGTTCTTTATAGTGTTTTTAAATATTGAAAGTTGTTAGAGTACTGTTGAAATGTTTTAAATACCATCTTGCTGCAAAATAACCATTTTATATTTCAGAAAGCCTCTTGAAATATCTGCTCACTCACTAGACAGTTCCTTGGGTTAATGGGAGATTGTAAGGGTTTGATATAAAATGGTGAGAATGTCAAATCAGAACCCCAAAGAGCTTGTCTTTCACCTTGACTTGGAGAAAATTTGTTTTAGTGTCCTGCTTTTGCATAGTAACTCCAGTTTAAAACAGTCTCTGGGTCTGCAGCCTGTCTTCCTGTAAAGGACATTTTTGTTCCTGTACACCTCTTAAAAACTGGGCAACAGTTGCTAGAGATTTTACCTTTCGAGGTACTTGGAACAGGTAGGTTTTTTATTCTTCTGGAAATCGTTCCATCAGTTGTAAAATAGTTTTGTGTCTGTAAACTAAATGCTTTCCATTTGATTAAGAAGAAACTGGCCTCACATAATTAAGTGACAGGTATGTTATTAGAGAGAGAGATAAGGAAAGCATGCACAGGCACTGGTTCTTTGGTGTCATTCTAATCTGGCCTAGGTTTTTTCTGGAAATAGAGTGGTAACACAAAGAAGTAGGGTAGGCCGGGACTTCCCTGGCAGTCCAGTGGTTAAGGCTCTGTGCTCCCAATGCAGGGGCCATGGGTTCAATCCCTGGTTGGGGAACTAAGATCCTGCATGCCGCATGGCGTGGCCAAAAAAAAAAAGCTAGGGTAGGGCTTAGCTGTTTCTCCTCAGGCTCTCTTACTCTCATTCATAACCTTCCCTAAGAGATAAGAGCTCGCTGAAAGAGTTTCATAAATAATTTTTCACGGTGCTTCTCTACTGTCATGTTTCAGGCATATCAGGAATTCAAATTTACAACAGATGTGATTGATAGGAACTGCATATAGCTGTCCCAGCACCTTCCCCAAAGAAGATAAATGTCACACATTGTTTAAAATTAAACACCTAATATTAAGTCCTTATATTCAGATCATAGAAAAACTGAAGTGAGACATTTAATGACATAGATGCAGAATCCCAGGATCCAAACTTTTGGTACTGTGTAAGTTTTAGAAGTTTGGGAAACATGACCAGGAAACTTTACAGTTGGAGTTTAAAATGAAAATTTGAAACTGTCCCTCTGAAGATGAAAGGAGACAATTCTCTTTACCAACACTTACAGCTTTTCAGTTGTTATAGCCATGCTCTGCTGTCCAGCTGTGGTGAGTGTTAAACTAAGCATATTATAACTCTGGTGTTTCTCTGACTTTAATGAAGTAGTTATGATTGTTATATGAGAGAGTGACGTCGGTCATCTTTATTTTCTAAACTACATAGAAGTGAATATGAAGCAACAGTTGAGGGAAAAAAAGAAGCTTGAGAAAGAACAACTATTCCCTCCATTTTTCTTTTGACTCCTTAAAATAAGTTTCTTATGTTCCAGTCACTTTATCAGGTACAGGAAGAAAATGGCAACAAGATCAGTGAAGGTCCCTGTTTGCATGTAGCTTAATTTGAAATGCAATCTCTAAAGCTACAGGGGTTAAAAAGAGGGAGGGGGTCTTCACTGAGGTTTGTCTTCTGTCTTGCTCTTTGGATGTTCCTTGTTGTCTCCAAACTATTTCTATAATCACTTATACCTAGTAAGTCTCAGACTTTCTGGAACTGATGGACTTTTATTTCATTTTTGCCATGCTCTCTATCATCTCAGAATTGCCACATGACAGGTTTCTTGTCTTGTTTTGTTTTGACTTTTTATGTTTTTTAATAAAATTATATTCCATGATAACTGGAGAATCGCAGCCTTAGTCATATGTGTGCTTGCGATACTTAACTTGGAAGGTCATAAAACACAGATTAGTCTTTCTTTTCTTCTTATATATATCTACCCACCCCCATTAAGCTAGTTGTAACAGACTTAATTTGAAGTGCTATTGTGTTATGCTTCTCAAATCCAGATTTTTCCAGTATGCTTAGCCTGGTAGGCCAAGTAGCTCATCAGTATTTCCCTTCCTTCTGTATCAAGAGTCAGTATCAGTGACCTTTTCAGAACTACCTGACCTGACAGTTGGGGGCTGTAAGAACTATATGTCATAATAAAATGTTGGTAACTCTCAGAAGGCAGATGATTGGTTCTTCATTTTATAGCAGATTAACACTTCAGAGTTGGTGGTGTATAACTCTTCCAGTTTTTTCAAGAGGCTTTCCAAGAACCACATCAGTAGGGTCTGATGTACTAAAAAGATCAGGACTGTAGCCTCATAATTGTTAATCATTTAACATTTTACCAACTAACTCAGTATCCTGGGAATACAGCAGTACTCCCTCTTTTGCACAGATGAGAGATCCAACTGTCTCAGCTGCTTGTGCTTGTCTGCCTAGGACAGCCAAGTATTTTCCACACCCAGACAGTCTTGGTTTCCCTTGTTTTCTTTAAAGTTCGAAAACAGACACATTCTTGGATTTTCATATAAACATTGTCTTGTTATAGATGTATGTATGTGTGTGTGTGCGCGTGTGTGTGTGCGCGCATGTGTATGTGTGTCTTTTAAAGAATAATTGTGAATTCAGCCCTATAATAGTAGTTTAATTTTCCTCTTGGATCTTGGTCTTTAAAGAGACTGACATTTTCCAAGGTACTTCACATCAACTGCTACTATTCTTGACTAAGACAGATATGCTTTTGCCGGGCCGTAGGCCCCAGAAATGAAAAAAAAGGATTTTCATGTATTGCCAGTGTATCATCCACAACCTTTTCCACAGCAGCAGTTGCCCTTTATAGTGTTAACTTAAGAGGGCACTTTGCTGGCAGGATTTTTTTTAAAGAGGGTCTGACAGACATAGCGACCACTCCTCCATCTGCTACCCCTAAAAAAAAAAAAAAAAAAATCCAAGAGCCACAGCAGGTGCTGCTCATTATGGGGCTGAGATCTCAGCAGTAGAGCGTTGGTTGCTTTTCTCTCCAGTTCTCTTTTTCAGTAGTAAACCATCAAGTATATCAAAACCGGCCTGGCACTTCACAAACAAGGTAGAGAGGAATCCTAGAGTGCTGTTAGGAGATGAGTTTCAAGCATGCTGAAAGTCCTTCCATGTCCAGCTTTTCATGGTGATTTGCATTTATAATGAATGTATGTATCTCAACAAAAAAATATAGAGAGCTTTCTGTATATAGTAAAAAGGAGTCTGTTGGAGAGACTTCACAGGAAAGATCACATCTAGTCACTGTGTGGCCACCTATGACTGGTCAGAAGTCAATATATTGATTTCTCATTTGAGTTAGTTTACGTGAAAATATGTGTACAGGAGTGGGAACCAAATAAGACTGTTCCCACTTCCAAAGGAGGGAAAGACATTCCTGCCAAAGCCATTTCTCTGTCTTGCCATTCCTATTCTTTCTACAAGCACCTCTTGCTGGTATCATCACCCCTGAGACAACGGGTCATTGTACTGTTATCAGGGCCCACTATTCATATTTTCCCCACTACTGTTTGAACCTGAAAATGAAACTTTCACTTGACTCCTTTGTCTTATTTGCAGTCTTTTGACCCTCGATCTTTTCATTGTTAGGAACTCCAGAAGAAAAGTCGTACATCAGGGAAAAAGCAGTTCTAAAATGAAAATAATACAGAAACTATTCCTCTTTCCTCAATGGAAAGTTTCATCCTCTTTCCTCGATGGAAAAACTGGGGACAGTCAGACATATTTTTACTTTGACTGTCAGTTTAAAAGGTCAAGTGCAAATGGGTACGTGTTCTTAGTAGAGAAAGCAGTCTTCCAAAGATGTGGGCCTGAGCTTCATTTCCGTGGCTCTTTTCTGACATCATTCTTAGGTTCTACAGATTCAGTGTGATGTGTGGCCTTCCCTGGGTCACCCAAAACACATTTTCTTGAGGAGCTGCCTTGCTTTTGCTGTGTGCGCTTTCTGTTAGGGATAGACTGCTGGTCAGAGGTTGCTGACTCTGATTCTTTCTGATCAGTGAGGTGTTACATAGCTCAAAGATGTGTGGATAGGTTTACATATGTGTGAGAGACAAAGAGACCTCTTCTACAGTTTTGTAATGAACTGCACTCAGCATAGGACCATTGATTGCCTAACATTTTTTTCTTTTGCTTGAACTCAGGGGCAGAGGCCTGGCCTCCAGGGGTTTGTCTTAAATATGTCGGGGGAGACCAATTTGGACATGTGAACATGGTGATGGTGAGATCGCTAGAGCCCCAAGAGATTGCAGATGTCAGCGTCCAGATGTGCAGCCCCAGCAGAGCAGGAATGTATCAGGGACAGTGGCGGATGTGCACTGCTACAGGACTCTACTATGGAGGTGAGTATGTCCCTGTGCAGCCCAGGGTGAAGGAATTAAGGTAACATCTTACAGCATCCCCGGTTGCTCACAGAGCCTGTCAAATTATGTAGCAGGGTGTGGTCCCTTTTAAACAGCGACCCCATGCGGGTAAATGACTTGAATTTAATGACTAATTGGTTCAGTCTAGCGGTCTCCTTTTTATACTAGGAATTTAGTTAAAATTTAGTGAAGTGTAATGAGATATATATTGCATTCTAAACAATGATTTAGTAGTGCTGCTATTTTTATTATATAATCTAGTAGGTGCTGTAAGAATACTGAAGGCAGTCCCTGTTCTCATAGTCTCTAGACAGAAGTTGTATAAAAAAAGATAATGCACAAAATGTGCATACTTCTCTGCACCTGATGAGCTGTCAAGATGCTAGTACCTCTCACTCCTTCTTTTTACTGCCATACTTTTTGGACAGAGTGATTTACACTCATTGTCTCTTTTTCCCATTTACTTTTATTTTTCAAACTAGTCAGTCCTTTACCCACTCCAGTGATGTTTATCAGCAACTACCCAGTTTCCAAATCCAGTAGCCACTTTCCAGTCTTCATACTAACTGACCCTCTATCATTTGGCACCGAACTCTAAATGTTTTTTGAAGTGTGTACCTTCTTAGACTCACGTGGTACCTCTCTTGTTTCTTCTCTGAATGTTCTTTGTCTAGTCTCATTTTTGCCATGGGACTACAGACATACCTTGATTTATTGACGTTCACTTTATTGTGCTTTACAGATAATTTTGTTTTTTACAAATTGAAGATTCGTGACAACCTTTCGTTGAGCAAGTCTGCTGGCACCGTTTTTCCAACAGCATTTGCACACTTTGTGTCTCTGTGTCACATTTTGGTAATTCTCACAATATTTCAAATTTTTTCATTATTATTATATTTGTTATGGGGACCTGTGATCAGCAATCTCTGATGTTTCTATTGTAATTGTTTTGGGATGCCACAAACTGTGCCCACATAAGACTGTGAACTTAATTGGTAAATGTGTGTGTTCTGACCATTCCACCAATTAGCCATTCCTCCATCTCGTTTCCTCTCCTTGGACCTCCCTATTCCCCAAGACACAACAGTATTGAAATTAGGTCGGTTGATAACTCTACAATGGCCTCTAAGTGTTCAAGGGAAAGGAAGAGTCACACATCTCTCACTTTAAAAACTAGAAATGATTAAGCTTAGTGAGGAAGGCATGTCAAAAAACAAGATAGGCCAGAAGCTAGGTCGCTTGTACCAAACAGCTAAGTTGTGAAAGCAGAGGAAAAGTTCTTCAAGGAAATGAAAAGTGCTACTCCAGTGAACACACGAATCATAAGAAAAGTGAAACAGCCTTACTGCTCATATGGAGAAAGTTTGAGTGGTCTGGATAGAAGATCACATCAGCCACACCATTCCCTCAAGCCAAAGCCTAATCCAGAGCAAGGCCCTGACTCTCTTCAACTCTGTGAAGGCTGAGAGAGGTGAAGAAGCTGCAGAAGAAAAGTTTAAAGCTAGCAGCGGTTGGTTCTTGCAGTTTAAGGAAAGAAGCCCTCTCCATAACATAAAAGTGCAAGGTGAAGGAGCAAGTGCTGATGTAGAAGCTGCAGCAAGTTATCCAGAAGATCCAGCTAAGATAATTCATGAAGGTGGGCTACACTAAACAAGAGATTTTCAATGTAGACAAGACAGCCTTATATTGGGAGAAGATGCCATCTAGGACTTTCATAGCTAAGGAGGAGAAGTCAGTGCCTGGCTCCAAAGGACAGGCTTTCTTGTTAGGGGCTAATGCAGCTGGTGGCTTTACGGTGAAGCCAGTGATCATTTACCATTCTGAAAACTCTAGGGCCCTTAAAAATTATGCTCAATCTGCTCTGCCTGTGCTCTGTAAATGAAACAACAAAGCCTGGATGACTGTACATCTGTTTGCAACATGCTTCACTGACCATTTCAAGCCCACTGTTGAGACTTACTGCTCAGAAAAAAAGATTCCTTTCAAAATGTTACTACTCATCGACGGTGCTCCTGGTCACCCAAGAGCTCTGATGGAGATATGCAACGAGATTTTCATGTCTGCCAACACAACATCCGTTCTGTAGCCATAGATCAAAGAGTCATTTCTACTTTCAAGTCTTGTTCTTTAAGAAATACATTTTGTGAGGCTATAGTGAATCCTCTGATGCATCTGGGCAAAGTAAGTCCTTCTGGAAAGGACTCACCATTCTAGATGCCATTAAGAACATTTGTGATTCATGGGAGGAGGTCAAAATATCAACATTAAGAGGAGTTTGGAAGAAGCTGACTGTAACCCTCGTGGATGACTTTGGAGGGGTTCGAGACTTCAGCGGAGGAAGTAACTGCAGATGTGGTGGATGTAGCGAGAGAATTAGAAGCGGAGCCTGAAGATGTGACTGAATGGCTGCAATCTCAGGATAAAACTTTAACCGATGAGGAATTAACTTTTTATGACGAGCAAAGAAAGTGGCTCCTTGAGATGGTATCTAGTCCTGGTGAAGATGCTGTGAAGATTGTTGAAATAACAACAAAGGACTTAGAATATTACATAAACTTAGTTGATAAAGGAATGGCAGGGTTTGAAAGGACTGACTCCCAATTTGAAAGAGTTTCATCTGTGGGCAAAATGCTATCAAACAGCATTGCATGCTACAGAGAAACTGATCGTAAAAGGAAGAGTCAGTCAAGGCAGCAAACTTCATTGTTCTCTTACTTTAAGCTGCCCCAGCCTTCAGCAACTCCCAAGCTGATCAGTCTGTAGCCATCAACATGGAGGCAAAACCTTCCACCAGCAAAAACGATTACAACTTGCTAAAGGCTCAGATGATGGTTAGCGGTTTTTGCCAATAAAGGAATTTTTAATTAAGATATGTGCATTGTTTTCTTAGACATAATGCTGTTGCACACTTAGACTACAGTGTACAGTAAACGTAATGCACTGGGAAAACAAAAAATTCATGTGACTCGCTTTATGGCAGTATTCACTGTATTGCATTGATCTGGAACCGAACCAGCTCTGTCTCCAAGGTATGCCTGTCTTAGATTGTGAGCTGGGCCCTGTTTATGGTCTGTGACCTCATCCACCCACCTGGCTTCATCTGTCACCAGTACGGCATACATGGGACTCGAAGTCATATCTGTGGTGCAGACTCCTTGGCGTTTCAAACCTGTATTTAAGTGCTTGTGGACAGAACCTCTGGATATTCTGTAGAGTTTTGTATTTTAGTATCTCCTAGGCAAAACTTACATTCTTGTAATTGTCATCCCACTGAGATGATCAGGCCAGAAGCTTGAGTCATCTTTTGTTCTGTCTTATCATCCTTAATCACAGACCAATTCCTATTTGTTTCTCTATATCCTATGTCTTAGAGATCCAGAGAAAAATAAATTAAAAAAGAGTTCCTGTCCTCAGGGAGCTCTTAACTGGGGACTCATGGCCAGTGGGACCTTTGGAGTTATTTAAAGGAGTCCTGGAATTAATTTTCTCATATATGTTTTTGCAGCCAGTGGAAACTTGAAGTATTTCTCTGACTGAAAAAATTATAATGTTTAGTGTCATCCTTTGTAACATCATTCTTTGCCGAAAACCTTTGTGCCTCCTGTAATGGAGCCAAACTCCTTGGCACAGGGCTTAAAGCTCCTCATGGGGCTTCCCTGTTGGCGCAGTGATTGAGAGTCCGCCTGCCGATGCAGGGGACATGGGTTCGTGCCCCGGTCCGGGAAGATCCCACATGCCGTGGAGCGGCTAGGCCCGTGAGCCATGGCTGCTGAGCCTGTGCATCCGGAGCCTGTGCTCCGCAGTGGGAGAGGCCACAACAGTGAGAGGCCCGCATACCGCAAAAAAAAAAAAAAAAAAAAAAAAAAAGCTCCTCATGATCTGGTCTGGTCTCATTTTCACTTTCATCCTTAGTCACCTCTTTACTCTCCACAGCCAGTCCCCAAAGACACCACATGATTTCACTTCTTCATGCCCTTGCTCATGTTGTTCCTATTGCCTGAAATACCTTTTTCTTTACAACAAACCCCTGCTCATCCTCAGCACCCTGGTGAACTCACCTTTCCTCCTTCCCTCCTCCCCCCTTCTTACCCCTCTACCCGAAGGAAATACCTACTTCCCTTTTCACTTATATTATGCACACACTTGTTATTTTAGTTAACACATTGTGTTTTAGGTGTTTGTTTACTTATCCTTTTCTCCTACTAGACAGTGAACTATCTGTTGAATACAGAATCAACATCATGTAACAATCATATATCAGAATGCAGAGAGATTATTTCTCCCCTCTTCTCAGGCCACCTCTCCTGAGAATCTTCTTACTTGCAAATGGTTTCTCCCATTGCTGAGCTCCATTTCATAATCTCTTTCCCTTTCCTTTGCCTCTCTTTGGCACTTCACCTCTTTCTGCCCAGTTAATTTGATGAATGTCTAATATCGATTTTAAAATGTAAGGTGATACATGTCTCATTTATCTTTGTAACTCTTGAAAAAGCTGAGCCAAGTGGAGAGTGGCTACTCAAATTTTAAAATGCATGTCAGTGTTTTTAAAGGAGGAGGAAGACAACATACATGACTTTAAAAAAAATTTCTTTGATGCAAAGATACTGCTTCATAGTGTTCTCCCATGCTTGAGAGCTCTAGTCTTATTTTGTGCGTGTGTTTTATTGTTAAATTAAAAATAATTATCACTATATGTGACATTAAAATTTATACTTTTAACATCCCTCTCAAATTCTATAAGTAGGTAGAGTATAAATATACTAGCTCTGAAGGCAGTAAAAACTTCAAAGCCTTTCTTGGTCATATAGTCTGTGAGTTGTTTTTCAGGACTTTGAAATCTAATACCTACAAGGGATCTTAATAGTTCATCTGATTCCATGGTTTTCAAGCATTTTTCTTGATCAGTGGAACCCTTTTCTTGATAAAAGTATATGTGAATGCCTCCTCCAAAAAAGAGAAAAGATAAAACTGAAACTGGC